ATAATGGGAAATGACCAAAGACAGGTGCGCACACCATCTTTGGACCTTGACTTTGACGTCACAGTTTGAGATACAAATGTTATTTGACCTCTGACCTTTGGTGGACACCCTAACCTTTCAACCCGCGAAAACGGCGTTTCAATAGCTCTTACGGCTTTCCTACAAATACACTTTGTTCAGCTACTCCTACTGTCCTTTAATCTCTGCTTCTCAGATCATCAAAGAGTGTGCACGTGTGTAATGAGCGCATATTGAATGTTAATTATGTTAAATATGTTAATTATTAGAAGAAAAAACAACAACAGTCCTTTTGGACAAAATTTCTTTTTATTACAGAATTAGAATAATGGAAGCATAGTCCAAGGAAACCATTCAAGTGATGTCATACCTCATAATTTATTGAGATGTTGGCTAGTCTGGGCATTTCTTCATTCATCAGGTTTCCTGCATGCATACTAACAGAGCACATCAGTAGCAGTGAGTGATAAGTATGAGTGTGTCATTGTGTAAGAAAGAAAGTGGTTTACTTACACATCCATAGAAAATAGGTGGTTGAGCACAGCACGCAAACAAAGCTTTGCCACAACGGTTGAACTTCCCAAGTAGCTGATACCAAGGTCACACAATCATGGTGAGCAAAGGTCAAACCAGGCCAGGCACTCACGAGGCTGGCTGTGGCAAGTGTAAGTGAAAGCAACACGCAATGGCAGGAAGAACAGCAAACACCGATGAAGGAAAAGGGTCTTTGCAGTGATGGGCGTCACCAGAGAGGGCGATGGCCAGAGGGCACGAATGGGACGGGGAGGCGGTCGCGCTGGGGGCGGCGCGATGCGGCTCGGGCCCGCCAGTGCCCCAACGGGGCCCTAGTTCGTTATTATTTTTCCTCCGCTTTAAACTGGAAAATGGCCCACTTCCCACTGGCGAAAACTCAGGAAATTTGGCAGGACGACCGGGCCTGGTGAAAAATTCGATATTCTGAAGTCGCCCAAACAATAAAATGCAAAATGGCTCCATAGCGCCCCCTAAGGTGAAAATTCACATGACGGCTGTACGCTTTGTCATATTGACACAAAAATTGACACACACATGTATCTCAATAAGATCTACAAAAAAGTCAGTGCGGGCGTATCTGTCAAATGTACGGTTAATGGGTTATTTTGCATTTTTTGCAGATCTGCACACATTGGAATTTCGCTAACTCCTCCGAAGGCTTTCGTTCGACCGGCACCACATTTGCGCAGGCCAATCTACCCCCCATGGCCATTAAAAGTTGTACAAATCATGACGCTGCACCCCACGGTTAACGTTCTAGGGGGCGCCAAAGATAACCCAAAATCCACATTCTTAAAAGTCTTATAACTTTTTATTTTTGTCCTCACTGCCCTCCAAGTTTTCTAGGATGATGCAATGTCCAGCCATCAACACATTTGTGAAGGAATTTTTACTCCCCAAAAGAGCGCCCCCCCATGGCAGGAGAAAAAAGTCAATTTTTTCTTGTCCCCTTACATGAAAATACACATTGTTGAGTGTCACGCCTGAACGCTTTGTCATATTGACACAAAAATTGACAATCATGTGTATCTCAATTAGATCTACGAAAAAGTCAAAAAGCGCGTATCTGTATAATGTACGGTTAAAGGGCTATTTCGCATTTTTTGCCGATTCGCACACATTGGAATGTGGCTATCTCCTCCTAAGGCTTTCGTCCCACCGATACCAAATTTTCTCAGGGCAATCTACACCCCATGCCCATTCAAAGTTGTAAAAATCATGACGCTGCACCCCACGGTTTACGTTCTAGGGGGCGCCAAAGATGACCCAAAAATCCACATTCTTAAAAGTCATTTTGGCCACTGCAGGAGTACAGAGTACTGCAGTTCTAGGGGGCGCCAAAGATGACCCAAAAATCCACATTCTTAAAAGTCTTTTTGGCCACTGCAGGAGTACAGAGTACTGCAGGATACACACACACACACACACACACACACACACACACACACACACACACACACACACACACACACACACACACACACACACTCAGAGTCTGTTTTTTAGCACCTGCAAAAACATGCTGTTTACATATTTGACAAGAATGCAGAGGCTTCCTTTTGCCCCTGAAAAAAATCAGATTTCAAACACAACTTGACTGTTCATTTCTCCAAAAGACAACCATGAAGCTCCATCCAAACCTGAAGCAGATAGTTGGTGCATGTGTACAGTAACCTGAGGGGAGTGAGGTGACTATTTCTGAGGAGAACATGAGCAGTGAAGATTCACCTTGGAGCTAGAACAGGGACGTGCACATGATTATACAGGGGCAGGGGCTCAAGTTTTTTCCAGTCATTTATACAATATGGAAATTAATGTGAAATTAAACCACAAATATGTGTGATGAACTGTTTTTAAAACTTAAACTTCAAATAAAAATTGTAAACTTCAAAACATATGCAAATTTTTAACAAAGAACATAGTAATTTACCTCTATTTACATCAAAATGCAGGCAATGGCCCAGGCGTTCTTTGTAAAATTATTTACAAAACACTGTATAGTCTCACAAATGTCACTTTTTATTTATGCCACTACAAAAAAACATGATGTAAATGATGCATGATGTAAAACATGATGTAAAAAACTTGTGTAGATCCTCCTCTATGTCAGTCCATGTGTAATTTTTCCATAATTCTTTGTTTTTTGCAGCATTTTTGTTAGTGTAACTGCAGATTGTGCTGACAGTGTCTATGGCACAAAAAAAAAATAAAATTAAAATGCCTCAACATGAACCCCTGGTGGTCTCTGAGGGTGAAACCTGCTAACTGCTGCAGCTCTGTCAGCTTCAGTCTCCCATGCAGAGCTCGGAGCGCATGTGTGGCTCTGCACCCTTAGCAGCGTTGCTAACTCCTCAGTAAGGAAAGCCTGCTTCATGTCAGAGTCTCTAAACTCCAGAAGAAGTCGATAAAGGCCCTTTCTTTCTAAAAAAAAGTCGTTAGGGGGTCTGAAAAGTAATTGAATCTAACAACAAAGTCACTAGGTTTGCAACTACGTGTCCCAGACTGCATCCCTGCTGAGAGTCCCTCCCTCCCTTCTCATGTTGCAGGAAGAACGTAAGCGCCCGCCCCTTGTCAATCAGTCACCATATAATTTTGGATTGGTTGTTGTGGTGAAGTTTTCCACCAATAGGAGAGATGTTGTGGTGTGTTTTTTTTTTCTTTTGGCAAGCCTTTTCCGCCTGTAAGACCTGTCGCTAATGTGTGCATGCTATGTTTTCCTGTCTCATACAGCGCGATCGAGCGCCGAACGTGATCAAAACAAGCAGAAAAAAAGTATCGCGGACATAATTTATCATAACTCTGGTTTTATTTGGCCTATCAACACAATTTAAAAACTGGTATATAGGTTGAGGTCCTCACTTTTGAGACCTAACTCTCAGATGAATCTTCAAAATTCACCTCAGAAATATGCTTATTATTCTTCTCAGAGTACTGCAGGATACACACACACACACACACAGACACACACGCACACACACACACACACACACACACACACACACTCAGAGTCTGTTTTTTAGCACCTGCAAAAACATGCTATTTACATATTTGACAAGAATGCAGAGGCTTCCTTTTGCCCCTGAAAAAAATCAAATTTCAAACACAACTTGACTGCTCATTTCTCCAAAAGACAACCATGAAGCTCCATCCAAACCTGAAGCAGGCAGTTGGTGCATGTGTACAGTAACCTGAGGGGAGTGAGGTGAGTGCTTCTGAGGAGAACATGAGCAGTGAAGATTCACCTTGGAGCTAGAACAGGGACGTGCACATGATAATACAGGGGCAGGGGCTCAAGTTTTTTCCAGTCGTTTATACAATATGGAAATTAATGTGAAACTAGAAAAATTGCATTTCCTTGCAGAAAATGCGTGGAAATGCTGAGTGCTGAAAGCTGAAAAAGCAATGCAAAACTGCCAATAAAAAATGGAGGAAGGTATAAACGGAAAAACTGTAGAAAATGTGGAGTAGAAGAAGAAGAAATTGTATCAATGGAAGAATTGTAGTATAGCTGGAGGTAAATTAGTTGGATTAATGTACAAATTGTCAGATAGCCTAAGTGAAAAATGTATATGATTGATGTGAATAAACAGAACTGATATGGATAATTGAATTTGAAAAACAAATGCCTTTAAACAATGTGTAACAATGTTCCTATTAAATGTACAAATAGTAAAACAGATTTTTGCAGTCTGCAGCATCCAACCATAGTAACTTGAGAATGCAGAACAGCACCATCTATTGCCCTGCTTCAGTTACTGCCCTACATCTGAATGCAGAAAGTATGAAACAGCTGAAGTTAAATTAATTGTATAAATGTAGAAAGTATAGAAAAGAAAAGCAGAAGTAGAAGAAAAAGAAGAAGTTAGTATGTTAAAAGAGTTAAAGACAAGAACTGTAACAACAAAGTTCATATTGGGGCTGTATTTTCTACTGACAGAGAGACAGTAACGCACACATGGAAACAGTGTGTGTGTGTGTGTGTGTGTGTGTGCCCGCGCGCGCGCGCGGCCGAGCCCGTGCGTGTGCATATGCGTGTGTGATCGAAGCACACAGCCCATGACAAGTGCAGAATCTGACAGAGACAGTAAGAGAGAAAGAGAGACATTAATGCACTCATGGAAACAGTGTGTGTGTATGTGTGTGTGCCCGCGCGCGCACGAGCGGCCAAGTCCGTGCGTGTGCGATCGAAGCACACAGCCCATGACAAGTGCAGAATCTGACAGAGACAGTAAGAGAGAAAGAGACACAGTAATGCACTCATGGAAACAGTGTGTGTGTATGTGTGTGTGGCCGCGCGCGCACGAGCGGCCGAGTCCGTGCGTGTGCATGTGCGTGTGCGATCGAAGCACACAGCCCATGACAAGTGCAGAATCTCTGGCTCTGAAGGAATGTACTCACCTCTGTTGAAGTTAATTCAAACTTCCCCGAGTCCGTTGATGGAGACTGGAACAGAGGATTCACTGAGGCAAAAAGGTGTCTTCAACAAACCTTTTATTTCGGCACATCAAATAACACAAGATATCTTGGAGAGCACAACATCAACCCAATGGTATCTCTGAGGTGGTCTGATTACTATTTTTCAGTAGTTAATATTTATACCCTAGGAGGCGTCTCATCATCTTTTTGGGCGGAGAGTTTACATAACCAGCAGCCCCCAGTGTTTCTCTATGGACAAACAAGCACGTATTGTTCTATTTTTTTTACCTGACCGAAACCGTGGTTTCAGGGAAGTTGACCTTGGATGCATCCAGCGCTTGTCTCCTTTTATCATATTTGCGTCATGTATTCCAAGCTTTCACTGAGTTCCCACTGGGCAGACTGCTGGGCATGCAAACCCCCCTTTACACCTCCCCATCTTCTCAGGACAGAGTGATCTTCCTCCCTCGTCCTGTTGTTCACATCTCTGACTAGCACCTGCACATCTGTTTATGAAAGGCACATCATTATCTAAGGCATATGTCAGGGCCCTAGAGCACTTTTATAAGGAACACTTTTAGTGAATGGCTGTGATGATTATAAAGCACACTTTTTAATAAATGACTGTTAAGGCAGAACAGTTTAAAACCATACTTACCAACCCTTGGCACTTCTAGGCATAAGCTAAAATCCTTCTATACTGAAAGTCTCTGTTCTATACATTGTGACACAGTGGTCAATTGCCCCTGTGTTAGCTTTAAACTTTCTTATCTTACTCATCAGTACATGTCCGCAATGAGCACACAAAATAATGTAAACACAATAAAAAAACAGTTAATTACCTGAAACAATGACTAAATGATTGGTATGATATATGACTTCCCACAAATTCCCCCTTTTGATCTCTTCAAAGAGATCACCTTCAATTAGCGCATCAACAGTGCCAGGAGTATAAATTTAACCGTCAGTACTTCCGCTATGACTAGGTAAACATTACTTTTGTTCGCATGCAGGGCGGCATCTAGGTCGGGGTCTACCACACTGAGGGACAGGTTAGTATCAAGCGGTGGGCTGGGGGTTAGAGGAGGAGATGGAAAACAACCGTGAGTATTTTGATTGCCAGAGGGATACACATCAAATCTATCAACCCAACATTCAGAAGGAGTGGGAACCATGACCTTTAAGTAAGTGAAATTGACGGACACTACTGACACCCCCTTTTTGGCTGTCCTTCCCCCCCGGGGCGTGTAAGAAACATCATAGGGTATGGAACCTTCTGCTTGTCGCCAATTGTTACCATCTCCGAGGGAGAGGCCAACTTTCACAGGAGTGTTTGGACCAGAGTATTCGCAAGTAATGGTCAGGGCTGTAGCATTACCAGAGATTGATGGGCGGGCCGAATAAGCATCCTAACCGCGGATGGGACGTGAGAGGTATGTTGCATCGTGTTTTGTGGCGTTTGTAGGCAACTGTGGGAACTCCCTAGTCAGCCCTAAAATTATAAGCAGCAAACCTATGTTAAATAAGACTAAAGCAATCAACCATGGCCATGAGCCAAATTTAGGATGAGGGATCCTCATTTCGTTTCTGCAAAATTCAACCCACAAAAGAACATCGAGCAATACAATGTAAGTTAATAACCAGATAAATGCCGAAATAAAAGGGTGTGGAACATACAGTGTGGAGCATACAGGTAAAAAATCTTCTCGTCTTGTACGACCTGACAGATGATCCGTCCGTGGAGGTCGCCCGGACAGGCAGCGTAGCGTCGTTGTCTACTGGAGCAGGTGTCAGCCGACGTCCTGCGGGATGTTGTCGTCTTTCTTCAGGCGGTCAGGGGTAGACTACCCTGTGCCCTTTACGTTGCAGGGATTATTCTGCCCTGTGTCTTTGCAGCGTAGCTTCGTTGTCTACTAGAGCAGTTGTCAGCCGACGTCCTGCAGGATGTTGTCTCCTTTCTTCAGGCGGTCAGGGGTAGACTACCCTGTGCCTTTTTCGTTGCAGGGATTATTCTGCCCTGTGTCTTTTCTGGAGGTGTGTGGCTCTTTGGTTTGGTTTCCTGCTGCAGCTGCTGCAAGATCCTGCCGCACTTCCTTCAGGGAGCGTTGAGGTGTTACAGCTGGGGCGCACTGAGTGAGGTGGAACCAGGTGTCACCTTTCCCGTCCAGCCGGACTGCGTGGGAGGTTCTCTCGGTCACCTGAAATGGTCCTGTCCACCTAGGCTCGCTCCACTTTCTCTTGATGACCCGAAGGAGGACCCAGTCAGTGATGGGTAGGTCACCGTCTTTGGTGCCGTCTTTGCTGTCTCGCACCTGCTTAGCAAATTCAGAGAGAACAGATTGCAGTTGTACATAATAATCTTTCTGGTGCATGTGAGAGGGAGGAGGGTCAGTGTTTTGCAGGGCTCGCTCTGGCCCTGGAAAAGGTCGACCACGTTCGAGCTCGAATGGGGTGTGTCCAGTTGTCCTGTTTACTGAGGATCGGATGGACATGAGGGCGAGCGGTAGAGCATCCACCCAGTTCAGCCCTGTGTGGGCACAAATCTTTGACAGCCTGTTCTTGACTGTCTGGTTCATCCTCTCAACCTTACCCTGAGATTGAGGATGGTACACGGACCCAAAACCATGTTTAAGTCCCAACATGGCCTCCACGTACTGGAGGTCCTGGTTCTTGAAGTGTGACCCATTGTCCGACCTGATCTTTTCTGGGAAGCCATGCTGTGGGATGTAATGGTTGATGAGACACTTAACTACTGATTTGCTGTCCTCTCTTTTCACTGGCCATGCTTCTGGCCATCCTGTAAATGCATCAACACACATCAAAACATACCTGTACCCTCGGACTGAGTTAACCATATCTGTAAAATCAATGATGATTTCTTTCCCTGGACGTGTTTTTAGTTGGAACTTACCCACCCCGGGTTTGTATGTAGGTCTGGTGTTGTGGTGTGTACAAACAGTGCAGTGTCTTACCCACTCCTTTAGCATGTCATGTAGGAAGGGGTGCCACCATTCTTTGAGGTCCACTTTCATCTGGGAGATGCCTGCATGGCCAACTCCATGTGCTTCTGAGAAGATACTGTCTTTGAGCCCAGGTGGCAGAACCAACCTTCCATCTGGGGATCTCCAGGTCCCTTCCGATAGGACTGCGCCTCTGAGTTTCCACACTGTCTTCTCTTCAGGTGAGGCTAGGTCCTGTTCTTTTGAGATTTCTGTAAGGGACAGTTTTGTCATTTGTGTCTCTGTGTCTGGTCTTACCAACAGGAGCTTCTCATGATATCCTGCGGCTGCTTTGGCTGCGGAGTCCGCTGCTTGGTTGCCCATGGCAACTCTGGATCCGCTGTTGTCGTGTCCTTTGCATTTGATGATGGCTACCTTCTGGGGAAACCACAGTGCTTTTGCAAGCTCTTTCATTTCATCCATGTGTTTAATGGGTTCTTGTTTTGCAGTTAGGTAGCCCGCTCTCATCCATTGTCCTAGGTCTACTTGTGCTGCGTGTACTGCATAGGCTGAGTCAGTGTAAATGTTAATGTCTTGGTCTTTACCTGCTTTCAGGGCTTCAATCACTGCCACGACTTCTGCTCTCTGGGCTGACTGTGGTCCATTGAGCTTTTGTGCTGTTACCGTCTTGAGTCCGTCTGGTGTTTCTTCTATCACCGAGAATCCTGCTCTGAGTCCCTCCTTCTCATCTCTGTAGCAGCATCCGTCTGTGTATAGGTTTCTGGCCCCTGGGATGGGCTCCGACTGGAGGTCTTCTCTGGCTTTTTCTTCTTTTTCAACCCTGTGGGCACACTCATGCAACACACCTTCCCCCAAACGCTCAGCCATGTTAACACCTTCATGAGTGAATAGCAAGTTTGGGGCTTCGAGAATGCGAGCGAGTTTTTGCTGTCTTGTGGAGGACATCGTAAAAGTTTGCGAGTTCACATAAGCTACAACGCTGTGTGATGTCAAGATGTGAAGTGTGTGTCCCATAACTATGTGTGCGCTTTTGTTGATGAGTTTGGCAACACCTGCAGCATGTCTTGTGCACGTTGGTTGACGTTTTTCTGTGGGGTCAAGGATGACACTGAGATACATCAGTACCGTTCTCTCTCCCCCTTTTTTCTGGAACAGAATACCGTTAGCAACAGATTCTGTTTCAGAAACATCCAAAAAGAACGGGCGCGCGTAGTCGGGGAGGGCCAATTCGGCGGACGCAGCGAGTTCTTGTTTGAGTTTGATAAAAGCTTCTTCCGAGTTGCGGGACCATGTCAGCTTCGCATTCAGATTTCTCATACCTGCAGAGGTGACCATGGCTCTCAGCGGAGATGTGAGAGTGGAAAAATCAGGTATGTACTGCCTGCTGTAACCCACCAGACCGAGAAACGACAGCATAGCTTTGACAGTGTCAGGCTTGGTGTGGTGCAGAATGGATGTGCGGTGGGCGGGGGACAATGAGGCCCCCTTTTGTGACAGTAGTCTGCCGAGGAAAGAAACTTGTTTCCGCGCGATTTGCAACTTAGGTTGACTGACCTTGAACCCGTGGCGGGCCAGGAGTAGGAGCAGGGCCCGTGTGGCCTGCAGGCAGGACTCGGCTGTGGTGGACGCAATGAGCAGGTCGTCGACATATTGAATCACTGTGGTGCCATCGGGCAGCTGCAGGTCAGCCAAACTCTCTTTCAGAACCTGGTTAAAGATGCCAGGGGAGAGGGCGAATCCCTGTGGGAGGCGGGTGTAACGGAGTCTGCGACGCTGGTAGGTGAACGAGAAGATGTCCCGAACGTTCTCATGTAAAGGGAGACAGAAAAAAGCGTTAGCAAGATCAATACATGTGAACCATGCTTGTTCGGGAGACAGATTGTTCAGAGCAACATATGGGTTTGGCACCGGGACCGTATTGGTCCCTAGAATCTGATTGATGGCTCTGAGGTCATGGGCCATACGGTACTGACCGGTGCCCTTCTTTTCAATTGGTAGAATGGGTGTGTTCCAGCAGGAGTTGGAGGGTTCGAGGACACCAGAGTCTAACAGGCCTTCTATGGTGTCCTGAATGCCCAATTCTGCCTCTCTTTTGTGAGGGTACTGTGGCACCCAGACCGGAGAGTCAGTATTCAGCTGGAATGAGATAGGTTTACAGTGGATCAATCCGACATCGGTTGGACCCTCGGCCCACAATGAGACTGGGAGGGAGGAGATAAGCTCCTGTGCTTTTGGATGATCAGATTTTTCTCTACCATGGTCTCTAGGTATGAGTTCATGTGTGCATAAAGCAGAGTCAGTGGTAGTACTCACAATTCTGAACATTTTCAGGGACGGAGAGCGGAGCACGCCAGGCAGGCCGGAGGAAGACCAGTCTGAGGCTAAGACTGCTGCTTTGACCATGGGGCCCAATTCGCGAGCCTCATGTCCCGGATGGAGAGCCAGCGAAATGTGGGGGAAAGCAGTCTCAGACATATTATACCAGGACTGTTGCTCTCTTGTGAGATTAACCATTGCCGCAACCCCCTGTTGTCCCACCAAAATGTCACCAGAATGTAGCTGCCAGGTCTTACCTTCTAGCTGATTTTGGAATTCCTCTAGGTAACATTCATTACCCTCCCGGTCGTAGAACAGAGTCAGATGGAGCGGGTCAGGTGGAGCCATGTAGGGGTGGACGCTGAGGATCCAGAGTTTCCAATGGAGATAACATGAGTAGAGCCCAGTTTGTGATGGCTCCAACAGGGCCCAGAAAATGTCTGCAAATCTAGGTTCAGTGTCTCTGAGGAGGTACTGGTGTGTGTCCCCAATCCCTTGTGCACATAGAACTTCAGTCCCATCCGGGAACGTGACAGTGAGGCCCTGCTGACCGCAGAGGATCTGTGCATTGAGTCTCGAGAGTAGGTCCCTACCCAGGAGATTGACTGGAACACTGGGAGACACTAGATAGGGGTGTTGTAATTTCTGTCCCGCTACGTGTGTGGGGAGGGGGATGGTAAATGACAGAATCTGACTTACCCCAGAGAAACCCACCACGCTCATCGTCCGTCCAGACAGAGGCCCAATGTCCTGATTAACCGTAGATCTGGTAGCCCCTGTGTCAACGAGAAAGGGCAGAGCGTGGTCCCGGACCGTCATGGACAGCATGGGCTCTGCCGTTACCCCGCTGTCCGAGTCGCTCTGTGGGGCGTGTCATTGAGGATACTGGTAGGCGTCCTGAGCCTCCCAGGTCTGGTCCCAGGCAGTGACTGCGACTGGAAACTGGTGGGCCTGCTGCTGCTGCTGCTGTTGTGGGGGTGGTCCTCCCTGTCTCAGCGGAGGTGGTCCACGGGCCATGCCACGCATCGGGTAGCTGTGTTGCTGCGGAGGGTTTGGTGGATAGTTTGGACATTCACGCCACCAGTGTCCATTCATGCCGCAGGAGTGGCAGGCGTTGTTGCGTGTAGGTGCTGTTTGTGCCTGATTCCAGTAACCGCCCTGGCGGGGAGGGCCGTTGTTACGAAATCTCCTGTTGCCCTGGAAACCTCCTCCCCTGTAGGGTCCACCAGACCTCGCTCCACGTCCTCTGCCCCACGAACCCTGAGATTGATCTGTGGGAGGAGAATAGGGAGAACAATCTGCCCGCTGGGGCACTGGGTACATGTCAGGTGAAATCTGTGGGTCGTTAGAGGCAGCGGCAATCATAATTTTATCTGTATTACGATCTTTCTTACCCTCAGTGATATTTCTCCGAGCCTGGGTGAGCTGCAGCTTCATAAGTTGTCTCTGCATGTCTTTGTCATCATCACCTTCTTTGTCAGCTCTGTCTTTCGCTCTCTGTAGGTGGTGTTTGAGATGTCGTTCCCACACCAGGCAGGTTGAGCCCGGAAGGTCTGGGCTGTTTTCCAAGTGTTCTCTAACGTCTGCTGGAACACCTTTAATTACAGCATCTCTAAACCAATGTTCCTGGCCCTTACTGGGGTGAACCCCTGTGTATTTGGACCATTGTTCCTTGCACTGGGCTAGATACTCGCTAGGAGAGAGACTTTTGTCCCATGAGAACTTGGGGATCATTGGACCGTTGGGAAGCGGGTATTTGGAACGGAGCTCGTTACGCAGAGCCCTAATTACTGTGACTAGCTGCCTGTCATCATTGCAGGAAATGGTGCCTGCACAGGTTTCGATGTCCCTGAGTTCGGTAGGGGTGACACAGAGCGCGAGAATAGCCCTGAAATCGCCGAGGGCTAGATCTTGGCCTTTAGTCAGGCAGTCCAATTTGTCCAGCCATAAGTTGCCTCCCTCAGAGATGGGGGGCAGCTTATCACTGATGGTTTGTGTATCGCTAACAGCGAATGGTTTATAGATTTTGTGTCCACCACTGGATTCAACCAGAGGGAAAGCGGAGGAGCTGTGGTGTGCTGTAGCTGCGTCTGGATATGCTGGAGGTAACATGGCTTTTGAGCGTGTGAAGTGATGGTGGCTGAGAGGTGCACTCACCCTTTTTTCGTTCGTCATACGCTGCTGTTCCTCCAGGGTGGCAGTGGGTCGGGCCATGGCTTCACTGGCGTCCGTGTTATCCGTATAGTTGACGGTGGAGCCTCTGGTGGTCCTCTGCATCTCATCTCTCATGGTGCTGAGCATTTCGTCTCTCACTTCCTGTCTGAGTTCCTCCTCCACTCTGCTGCGCATGAGCTCTGCACCTGTAACATCTAGGGTGTCTTGCAGTATTTTATTGAGAGTGCTCTTGGTAGGATTGGGGTCATATGTACCTCTTACCGTGAGTTGGGCTGTGCAGGGCAAACTCTGTGGACTCTGTGAGCCTCTGTTCGGGGACGGTATCACCGTCTTATCCTGTCCCCTGGGGGTGGATCTCTGCTGTGGCTCAGGAGCGGGCAGTGAATCTGGTGTGGGCAAAGATTTAAATTGTAATTCTTTTTTAAACTCACTCAAAAAGCGGGCCTGACGGTCTCCGAATGGTGCATCGAGCTGGTCCTCCTCTTCCTCCTCCTCGCTGTCCTCGGCTTCAGAGTCGCTGTCTTCATCCATGTCTCTGTAGGTATTGTTGCCTTCTCTGTCCTCGTAGTCTGAGAGGTCGATGGTGGTGGTACCAGAAGTCCTAGAGGCCATGGATGGTGCCTTGTGTCCAGGAATGTGAGAAGTCAGGGAGGGGTCCGGCTGTTGAGGCATCATGGTGGGGGGTATGTCAATCTTCAGATGTCCTTCATTGATGTTGATCACTGGGTAGAGAGAAGTGCTCACAAAAGGATTAGTGGGTGAGAGTTTTTTTCTGTGAAAACCAGACTGAGCGGAGTGGTAAGGTGGGGGTCGAGGCGGAGCTTTGGGAGGCGGAGCTGTGGGAGGCGGAGCTGAGGGGTGGAGACCTGAGAAAGGATTCGTTCGTTCAGCGGTGGGAGGAGGCAGGATAGAGGGAGGGGTAGCTGGTGGAGGCGGAGCTGGGGTGGCACCCTTTGTGTTGGTGGGTGTGTCCTTCTGTGTCTTACTGTGTGTGTGTGCTGATTTGAATAATCTCATGTCTGTATTTGGGGTGGGGGTAATCCCTGTCAAACCTTTCTCAGCTGCCTTATTTACATTAGTAAGATGCTCTGTCCCTCTGTGGGCTACTCCCAACGTCTGCCACCTAGCAAGTCTTCTAAAATGCTTTTTTACGGCCTGTTTATATTTTCTGCGGAGCAAAATGCTGCCTAGCGCTGCTTTCTTCCTTGCTGCTTCTCCTTTTGCTAGCTCTTCTTTCCCACGTGCCCAGATGAGATCTCCTAGTGAGGATCTTTCATTTTCTCTCCCTTCGATAAGCTCTTGCAGCATATCAGCATACTTTTCCCTCCCTTTCGCTGTCACCACAACTCCATCTTCTTTCCCTATGCCCTTTAAGATCCACTCTGCCTGTAGAGATAACGGGCCCCACCCATCATCATCTACCTCACGATCAAATTCACCATCCATCCCAACAACAGCAACGTCTCTTTAATGGCCGGCTGGTTTGTATGACACTTCCGTTTCGGGCAACCAGCCTTATTGGAGGCCTTCACAAAGCCGGTCAGTTTGTATGACACGTTCGTTCCGAGCAACGGACCCTTTCAGTGTAGTACTGAGACACTTTGTGTGAGGTTTTCTCCAAGACACCACTTTGAGACAAGTTCAATTTTCAGCATATATGTGGTCAAAACAGTCACAATTCACGCACAGGCTTCAATAATGTCACACAGCAGAGAGAAAGTTATTCTCCACTGAACTTTTTCTGTACGGCAGAACTCCTCGCACAGGTTTCAACTGTATCACACAGCAGAGAGAAACTCAGTCTCTACTGAATTTTTCTGTGCGGCATATCACCTCGCACAGAATTCAACAATATCACACAGCAAAGACAAAGTCAGTCTGTACTGACTTTTTGTGCGGCACAGCTCCTCGCACTAAATTCAACAATCACACAGCAGAGAGAAACTCAGTCTCTACTGAATTTTTCTGTGCGGCATATCACCTCGCACAGAATTCAACAGTATCACACAGCAAAGACAAAGTCAGTCTGTACTGACTTTTTGTGCGGCACAGCTCCTCGCACTAATTTTAACAATCACGCAGCAGAGAGAATGTCAGTCTCCACTGAATCTTTCTGTGCGGCATATCACCTCGCACAGAATTCAACAATAACACAGCAGAGAGAAACTCAGTCTCTACTGAATTTTTCTGTGCGGCATATCACCTCGCACAGAATTCAACAGTATCACACAGCAAAGACAAAGTCAGTCTGTACTGACTTTTTGTGCGGCACAGCTCCTCGCACTAATTTTAACAATCACGCAGCAGAGAGAATGTCAGTCTCCACTGAATCTTTCTGTGCGGCATATCACCTCGCACAGAATTCAACAATATCACACACTTCTTTTCGGGGGGCTCCAAGTCCCCGGGGTTTGCAACCCAGCTCAACTAGCGCCCCGTCGAGCCACTAGGGGGGTCCGCCACAACCCAGAGCGGTGGTCCTTATGACTCTTTACGCGGCCTTCACACAGGCTTCTCTTAAGTTTAACTTTTCATTTCACACATAGTTACTCTCTTTGTCAGAACACAGAATATCACAAGATGTACCAGTACAATATCATGAGCCTCGTAATAAATTTAGGATTCAGTATATACAGAGTTCAAGAGATCTTTGATTTAGAGTAACACAAATAGGCAGAAATTCTGTTAAAAAGGTTTTCTGCTTACCTTATTTTGTGGTCGACCAGATCTCTTTTCCTCTGATGCACTGAACAGTTTTCTCCAATTCAAAAGCTCTGTCAGAACTCCATCCCGGACGAGCCCCCAAAATTGTTGAAGTTAATTCAAACTTCCCCGAGTCCGTTGATGGAGACTGGAACAGAGGATTCACTGAGGCAAAAAGGTGTCTTCAACAAACCTTTTATTTCGGCACATCAAATAACACAAGATATCTTGGAGAGCACAACATCAACCCAATGGTATCTCTGAGGTGGTCTGATTACTATTTTTCAGTAGTTAATATTTATACCCTAGGAGGCGTCTCATCATCTTTTTGGGCGGAGAGTTTACATAACCAGCAGCCCCCAGTGTTTCTCTATGGACAAACAAGCACGTATTGTTCTATTTTTTTTACCTGACCGAAACCGTGGTTTCAGGGAAGTTGACCTTGGATGCATCCAGCGCTTGTCTCCTTTTATCATATTTGCGTCATGTATTCCAAGCTTTCACTGAGTTCCCACTGGGCAGACTGCTGGGCATGCAAACCCCCCTTTACACCTCCCCATCTTCTCAGGACAGAGTGATCTTCCTCCCTCGTCCTGTTGTTCACATCTCTGACTAGCACCTGCACATCTGTTTATGAAAGGCACATCATTATCTAAGGCATATGTCAGGGCCCTAGAGCACTTTTATAAGGAACACTTTTAGTGAATGGCTGTGATGATTATAAAGCACACTTTTTAATAAATGACTGTTAAGGCAGAACAGTTTAAAACCATACTTACCAACCCTTGGCACTTCTAGGCATAAGCTAAAATCCTTCTATACTGAAAGTCTCTGTTCTATACATTGTGACACAGTGGTCAATTGCCCCTGTGTTAGCTTTAAACTTTCTTATCTTACTCATCAGTACATGTCCGCAATGAGCACACAAAATAATGTAAACACAATAAAAAAACAGTTAATTACCTGAAACAATGACTAAATGATTGGTATGATATATGAGTTCCCACACCTCCTGGGCAAGCTGTACAATTTCATGACTTCAGACCGATTTTGTGAGAAGCAGGACGAGTGTACCTCCATTTTGATGTGTTTTTTATGGCTGTGGAGTGAAAATTGCGGCCGCAGCAGCAAAATAATCATGGTTGGTGTAGTGAATCCAAAAGGCCCCGCCCGCATCTAGTGATGACGTAACACGCTGTAGCGTGAGTCAGGCTGAAAAAGGCAGAAGACTTCATGTTGCTCCAAGCGAAATTGTGCAAAAACGGTAGGAAATAGCAAAAAGGAGTGAATACAACATTTGTAGCAGACGAGTTGCTGAACATTTTAAAGCAAAAATGAGGTCTGTAGGTGAAAGTATGCAGAAGTTATAAGGGTGAGAAGGTGTTATAGCTGTATCTCCATTCATTTGTAATGGAACAAATTTTGCAGAAAAAGTGAAATATTGCAAAAAGTATAAATGGTAGAAAGGTGAAAAGTAATAGCCGTAATGTCCTGAAGGAGTGCATTAGTATAAAGTTTGAATGGTGAAAATAGCACAAAGTGGTGAGGAGTTGAAAAGGGCCAAAAAAGGTACGGAAGAATAATAATAATAATAATAATAAAGAAATAGTAGAATAACAATAAGTGGAAATGCTGTGTCAGCATTTCCACTTAATAATAAAGAAAATGGCCGACAGGAATAACAATAAGTGGAAATGCTTAATCAGCATTTCCACTTAACTAGAAAAATTGCATTTCCTTGCAGAAAATGCGTGGAAATGCTGAGTGCTGAAAGCTGAAAAAGCAATGCTAAACTGCTAATAAAACATGGAGAAAGGTATAAATGTTAAAGCTGTTGAAGGGGTGAAAAAGAAATATAAGTTGGATAACTGTTTAATTGGTTGAAGGACAAATAGTATGACTATGCTCTATAAATGGAAATTTTATTCATGCTGAAAGAGGCTAGAAAAATGTCTAAAATTGCACAAAGTTTGAATGAAGAAGGAAATTGCCTTAAAAGGCAGGAAGGTGAGAAGTGGCATAAGTTTAAAATGTAGTATAAGAAGTCAAGTCGTGATACTAGTAGTCATGTCAGCAGTAGAAGTAGATTGAGAATAAAAGAAGTATAAGTCAAAGTAGTAAAGAAAGTAGAAATAGGAGCAATAGCAGTTGAAGTAGAGGGGAAAGTTCTAGTTTAATTGACATTAGCAGTAGTTGTCGTACTTGAGGTAGGATTTTGTTTGAATGATGGAGTAATGCATAAATATTAAAACTAATTTAAAACAGGGAAAATTTAAATTATCAAAAGTCCTCAAGTATCAGAAAGTTTTGAAGTATTAGAAAGGTTTGAATCAGTTTGAATGAGTTTAAATTACTTTGAAAAATTAAATGATAAATCATCACTGACTGAGTTTTAAAATGTGAAAAATTTAAATGAATAACAATCCTAAATACACCCAATAATGTCCTCAATGAGCTTAAATTTCAAAGCCCTGAATGGTTTCTGTAGGTCAAAGGTCATGTGAGGAGATAGGGGCTGAAGTTTTTTCCAACGCTCTAGGAAAGGGTTTTAAGTGTCATCCCAATTGCTATGTGTACTGAGCCTGGCTTCATGTGTCTCATATGGCCACTAGAAGCAGCTTTCCAGTCATCTGTGTGTCTCCAGGTGCACAAATTGGTTGCCATGGGGACCTTGGATGCATAACTATAGCAGGAGAAAGAAGGCTTGAAGCTAAAGAAACAGGACTCCAAGTAGGCCCTGACGCTCACCCTCTGTATATATTCATAAGGAGCTTGTGAGAACACAAGATTTTGCTGAACACATTAATACAATTTATTATCACAATCCTCAAAACACCCCATAATATCTTCAATGAGCTGAATTTTTGAAGCCCAGAATGGTTTCTGTAGCTCAAAGTTTGTGGGTGGAGATAGGTGGTGAAGCAGACACATATTATCTGTGTGTACAAGCAGGTGAACTGCAAGGTAGACCTGACAATGCAACAAGTACAAGAATGTGTGTGTGTGTGTGTGTGTGTGTGTGTGTGTGTGTCTCATTAATGACTGCATCCCTAACAGCTGTGAGATCAAAGGCAAATCACTGACCTACTGTTTGAATGACAAGCAGCTGAACAGCAGAGGATTTGAAGCCTGTGAACTTCTTCACATAGCGTGATTTCCTTAAGTCCCAGAATGAAAATAAGAACATCGTACGAATCCTCCGTCCTTCATGAACACAATGATGTGTTTTTCATGTCTGTACTCCGAAAAATGTGGCCACAACAGCGAGTTAAAAAAGTCTGAGCCTGAGTGACGATAAGGATTTTCTTGGAGAAGAAATACATTAGGGCCAATGGGGAGATATTTGCGCCTATCTGGACAGTTGGTCACCTGCTGGCCAAGGGGTACGATTTAATGATTTGAAACCTCTTTTGTGAGAAGCAGGACACATATACCTCCATTTTGATGTATTATTTGTGTCAGTGGAGTGAGATTTGTGGGCGTGGGAGCGATATATTCGAGCGAGGTTCTGTCGATCAGAGACGAGGTCTGCACTCTAGCTGATGACATCATCACTCTAAACTCTCCAATACACACCCATTATAAAGCTTGAAATTTGCTGAAAACCACAAGTTGCTTAAAGCTAAATTGTGGAAAAACTGTAAGAGATATCAAAAAACTGAGTACAACTATAATAGTCGACAAGTGAATGAACATTTTAAAGCAAAAATGAGGTCTCTAGGTGAAAGTACGCTGAAGTTATAAGGCTGAGAAGGTGGAGGAGTTAAAGGTAGAATTTGAAGATTTCCCCATTCATTTCAATGGGAAAATTTTTTGCACAAAAAGTCAAAAATATCAAAAAGTATAAGGGGTAGAAAGAAAAAAAATACACGCAATAATGTCCTGAAGGAGTGGAATAGTTTAAAGTTTGAATGGTTGAAATCGGACAAAGTTTGAAGGAGGAGAAGCGGTCCAAAAAAGGGACGGAAGAATAATAATAAGTTTAACTAGAAAAATTGCATTTCCTTGCAGAAAATGCGTGGAAATGCTGAGTGCTGAAAGCTGAAAAAGCAATGCTAAACTGCTAATAAAACATGGAGAAAGGTATAAATATTAAAGCTGTTGAAGGGGTGAGAAAGAAATGTAAGTTGGATAATTGATTAATTGGTTGAAGGACAAATAGTATGAATATGCTCTATAAAAGGAAATTCTATTCATGCTGAAAGAGGCTAGAAAAATGTCTAAAATTGCACAAAGTTTGAATGAAGAAGGAAATTTCCTTAAAAGGCAGGAAGGTGAGAAGTGGCATAAGTTTAAGTTGTAGTACTAGAAGTAGTATAAGAGGTCAAGTCGTGATACTAGTAGTCACGTCAGCAGTAGAAGTAGTTTGAGAGTAAAAGAAGTATAAGTCAAAGTAGTAGAGAAAGTAGAAATAGTAGCAATAGCAGCAGTAGAGAAAGTAGAAATAGGAGCAATAGCAGTTGAAGTAGAGGGGAAAGTACTAGTTTAATTGACATTAGCAGTAGTTGTAATACTTGAGGTAGGATTTTGTTTGAAGGATGGAATAATGCATAAATATTAAAATTAATTTAAAACAGGGAAAATTTAAATCATTAAAAATCCTCAAGTATCAGAAAGTTTTAAAGTATTAGAAAGGTTTGAATGAGTTTAAATTAGTTTGAAAAAAAATTAAATGATAAATCATCACTGAGTGACTTTAAAATGTGAAAAATGTAAATGAATATAAATCCTAAATACACCCCATAATGTCCTCAATGAGCTTAAATTTTAAAGCCCTGAATGGTTTCTGTAGGTCAAAGGTCATGTGAGGAGATCGGAGCTGAAGTTTTTTCAAGCGCTCTAGGAAAGGGTTTTAAGTGTCATCCCCAGTGCTATGTGTACTTAGCCTGGCTTCATGTGTCTCATATGGCCATTAGAAGCAGCTTTCCAGTCAGCTGTGTATCTCCAGGTGCACAAATTGGTTGCCATGGGGACCTTGGATGCATAACTATAGCAGGAGAAAGAAGGCTTGAAGCTAAGGAAACAGGACTCCAAGTAGGCCCTGACACTCATCCTCTGTATAAATTCATAAGGAGCTTGTGAGAACACAAGATTTTGCTGAACACATTAATACAATTTATTATCACAATCCTCAAAACACCCCATAATATCTTCAATGAGCTGAATTTTTGAAGCCCAGAATGGTTTCTGTAGCTCAAAGTTTGTGGGTGGAGATAGGTGGTGAAGCAGACACATATTACCTGTGTGTACAAGCAGGTGAACCGCAAGGTAGACCTGACAATGCAACAAGTACAAGAATGTGTGTGTGTGTGTGTCTCGTTAATGACTGCATCCTGAACAGCTGTGAGATCAAAGGCAAATCACTGACCTACTGTTTGAATGAGAAGCAGCTGAACTGCAGAGGATTTAGAGGCTCTAAACTTCTTCACATAGCGTGATTTCCTTAAGTCCCAGAATGAAAATAAGAACATTGTACGAATCCTCCGCCCTTCATGAACACAATGATGTGTTTTTCATGTCTGTACTTCAAAAAATGAGGCCACAACAGCGAGTTAAAAAAGTCTGAGCCTGAGCGATGATCCAGATTTTCTTGGAGAAAAATAACATTACGGTCAATGGGAGAGATTTCCGCCTTTTTTGGACAGTTGGTCACCTGCTGGCCAAGAGGTACGATTTAATGATTTGAAACCTCTTTTGTGAGAAGCAGGACACATACACCTCCATTTTGATGTATTATTTGTGTCAGTGGAGTGAGATTTGTGGGCGTGGGAGCGATATATTCGAGCGAGGTTCTGTCGATCAGAGACGAGGTCTGCACTCTAGCTGATGACATCATCACTCTAAACTCTCCAATACACACCCATTATAAAGCTTGAAATTTGCTGAAAACCACAAGTTGCTTAAAGCTAAATTGTGGAAAAACTGTAAGAGATATCAAAAAACTGAGTACAACTATAATAGTCGACAAGTGAATGAACATTTTAAAGCAAAAATGAGGTTTCTAGGTGAAAGTATGCTGAAGTTATAAGGTCTAGAAGGTGGAAGAATAAAAGGAAGGAGTGGAAGATTTCCCCATTGACTTCAATGTTAAAATTTTTGCACAAAAAGTAAAAAAAAACAAAAAGTATAAAAGGTAGAAAGGTAAAAAGTACAAGCAAACATGTCCTGAAGGAGTGGAATAGTTTAAAGTTTGAACGGTTGAAATCGGACAAAGTTTGAAGGAGTTGAAAGCGGACGAAAAACGGCGGAAGAAAAATAATAATAACTAGAAAAATTGCATTTCCTTGCAGAAAATGCGTGGAAATGCTGAGTGCTGAAAGCTGAAAAAGCAATGCTAAACTGCTAATAAAACATGGAGAAATTTATAAATGTTAAAGCTGTTGAAGGGGTGTGAAAGAAATGTAAGTTGGATAATTGATTAATTGGTTGAAGGACAAATAGTATGAATATGCTCTATAAAAAGAAATTTTATTCATGCTGAAAGAGGCTAGAAAAATGTCTAAAATTGCACAAAGTTTGAATGAAGAAGGAAATTGCCTTAAAAGGCAGGAAGGTGGGAAGTGGCATAAGTTTAATTTTTTAAGTATTAGAAAGGTTTGAATCAGTTTGAATCAGTTCAAATTAGTTTGAAAAATTAAATGATAAATCATCACTGAGTGACTTTAAAATGTGAAAAATCTAAATGTATATAAATCCTAAATACACCCCATAATGTCCTCAATGAGCTCAAATTTTAAAGCCCTGAATGGTTTCTGTAGGTCAAAGGTCATGTGAGGAGATAGGGGCTGAAGTTTTTTCAAGCGCTCTAGGAAAGGGTTTTAAGTGTCATCCCCAGTGCTATGTGTGCTGAACCTGGCTTCATGTGCCTCATATGGCCATTAGAACCAGCTTTCCAGTCAGCTGTGTGTCTCCAGGTGCACTAATTGGTTGCCATGGGGACCTTGGATGCATAACTATAGCAGGAGAAAGAAGGCTTGAAGCTAAGGAAACAGGACTCCAAGTAGGCCCTGATGCTCATCCTCTGTATAAATTCATGATAAGGAGCTTGTGAGAACACAAGACTCTGCTAAACACATTAATACAATTTATTATCACAATCCTCAAAACACCCCATAATATCTTCAATGAGCTGAATTTTAGAAGCTCAGAATGGTTTCTGTAGCTCAAAGTTTGTGGGTGGAGATAGGTGGCGAAGCAGACACATATTAACTGTGTGTACAAGCAGCTGAACTGCAAGGTAGACCTCAAAAAGCAACAAGTACAAGAATGTGTGTGCGTGTGTGTGTGTGTGTGTCTCATTAATGACTGCATCCTAAACAGCTGTGAGATCAAAGGCAAATCACTGACCTACTGTTTGAATAAGAAGCAGCTGAACTGCAGAGGATTTAGAGGCTCTAAACTTCTTCACATAGCGTGATTTCCTTAAGTCCCAGAATGAAAATAAGAACATCGTACGAATCCTCCGCTCTTCATGAACACAATGATGTCTTTTTCATGTCTGTACTCCGAAAAATGTGGCCACAACAGCGAGTTAAAAAAGTCTGAGCCTGAGTGGGGATAAGGATTTTCTTGGAGAAGAAATACATTAGGTCTAATGGGGAGAGATTTCCGCCTATTTGGACAGTTGGTCACCTGCTGGCCAAGGGGTACGATTTAATTATTTGAAACCTCTTTTGTGAGAAGCAGGACACATATACCTCCATTTTGATGTATTTTTTATGGGTGTGGATTGAGATTTGTGAGCGTGGGAGCGATATATTCGGCGAGGTTCTGTCGATCAGAGATGAGCTCTGCACTCTAGCTGATGACATCATCACTCTAAACTCTCCAATACACACCCATTATAAAGCCTGAAAATTAGCTGAAAACCACAAGTTGCTTAAAGCTAAATTGTGGAAGAACTGTAGAAGATATCAAAAATTTGTATACAAGTTTAATAGTCGACAAGTGAATGAACATTTTAAAGCAAAAATGAGGTCTCTAGGTGAAAGTATGCTGAAGTTTTAAGGTTTAGAAGGTGGAAGAAGAAAAGGAAGAATTGGAAGATTTCCCCATTGACTTCAATGTTAAAATTTTTGCACAAAAAGTAAAAAAAAACAAAAAGTATAAAGGGTAGAAAGGTAAAAAGTACGAGCCCTCATGTCCTGAAGGAGTGGAATAGTTTAAAGTTTGAACGGTTTAAATAGCACAAAGCAGGAAGGAGTTAGAAGTGGACGAAAATTGGCGGAAGAATAATAATAATAATAATAATAATAATAAAGAAAAATGGCCGACAGGAATAACAACTAGAAAAATTGCATTTCCTTGCAGAAAATGCGTGGAAATGCTGAGTGCTGAAAGCTGAAAAAGCAATGTTAAACTGCTAATAAAACATGGAGAAAGGTATAAATGTTAAAGCTGTTGAAGGGGTGTGAAAGAAATGTAAGTTGGATAATTGATTAATTGGTTGAAGGACAAATAGTATGAATATGCTCTATAAAAAGAAATTTTATTCATGCTGAAAGAGGCTAGAAAAATGTCTAAAATTGCACAAAGTTTGAATGAAGAAGGAAATTGCCTTAAAAGGCAGGAAGGTGGGAAGTGGCATAAGTTAAATTTTTTAAGTATTAGAAAGGTTTGAATCAGTTTGAATCAGTTCAAATTAGTTTGAAAAATTAAATGATAAATCATCACTGAGTGACTTTAAAATGTGAAAAATCTAAATGTATATAAATCCTAAATACACCCCATAATGTCCTCAATGAGCTCAAATTTTAAAGCCCTGAATGGTTTCTGTAGGTCAAAGGTCATGTGAGGAGATAGGGGCTGAAGTTTTTTCAAGCGCTCTAGTAAAGGGTTTAAGTGTCATCCCCAGTGCTATGTGTGCTGAGCCTGGCTTCATGTGTCTCATATGGCCATTAGAAGCAGCTTTCCAGTCAGCTGTGTGTCTCCAGGTGCACTAATTGGTTGCCATGGGGACCTTGGATGCATAACTATAGCAGGAGAAAGAAGGCTTGAAGCTAAGGAAACAGGACTCCAAGTAGGCCCTGACGCTCATCCTCTGTATCTATTCCTGATAAGGAGCTTGTGAGAACACAAGACTCTGCTAAACACATTAATACAATTTATTATCACAATCCTCAAAACACCCCATAATATCTTCAATGAGCTGAATTTTAGAAGCCCAGAATGGTTTCTGTAGCTCAAAGTTTGTGGGTGGAGATAGGTGGCGAAGCAGACACATATTAACTGTGTGTACAAGCAGCTGAACTGCAAGGTAGACCTCATAAAGCAACAAGTACAAGAATGTGTGTGTGTGTGTGTGTGTGTGTGTGTCTCGTTAATGACTGCATCCTAAACAGCTGTGAGATCAAAGGCAAATCACTGACCTACTGTTTGAATGAGAAGCAGCTGAACTGCAGAGGATTTAGAGGCTCTAAACTTCTTCACATAGCGTGATTTCCTTAAGTCACAGAATGAAAATAAGAACATCGTACGAATCCTCCGCCCTTCATGAACACAATGAAGTATTTTTCATGTCTGTACTCCGACAAATGTGGCCACAACAGCGAGTTAAAAAAGTCTGAGCCTGAGCGATGATCCGGATTTTCTTGGAGAAAAATAACATTACCGTCAATGGGAGAGATTTCCGCCTTCTTTGGACAGTTGGTCACCTGCTGGCCAAGGGGTACGATTTAATGATTTGAAACCTCTTTTGTGAGAAGCAGGACACATATACCTCCATTTTGATGTATTATTTGTGTCAGTGGAGTGAGATTTGTGGGCGTGGGAGCGATATATTCGAGCGAGGTTCTGTCGATCAGAGACGAGGTCTGCACTCTAGCTGATGACATCATCACTCTAAACTCTCCAATACACACCCATTATAAAGCTTGAAATTTGCTGAAAACCACAAGTTGCTTAAAGCTAAATTGTGGAAGAACTGTAGAAGATATCAAAAAACCGAGTACAACTGTAATAGTCGACAAGTGAGTGAACATTTTAAAGCAAAAATGAGGTCTCTAGGTGAAAGTATGCTGAAGTTATAAGGTCTAGAAGGTGGAAGAATGAAAGGAAGAAGTTAAAGATTTCCCCATTGACTTCAATGTTAAAATTTTTGCACAAAAAGTTAAAAAAATCAAAAAGTATAAAAGGTAGAAGAGTGAAAAGTAATAGCCATCATGTCCTGAAGGAGTGGAATAGTTTAAAGTTTGAACGGTTGAAATCGGACAAAGTTTGAAGGAGGAGAAGCGTTGCAAAAAAGGGACGGAAGAATAATAATAATAATAACTAGAAAAATTGCATTTCCTTGCAGAAAATGCGTGGAAATGCTGAGTGCTGAAAGCTGAAAAAGCAATGCTAAACTGCTAATAAAACATGGAGAAATGTATAAATGTTAAAGCTGTTGAAGGGGTGTGAAAGAAATGTAAGTTGGATAATTGATTAATTGGTTGAAGGACAAATAGTATGAATATGCTCTATAAAAAGAAATTTTATTCATACTGAAAGAGGCTAGAAAAATGTCTAAAATTGCACAAAGTTTGAATGAAGAAGGAAATTGCCTTAAAAGGCAGGAAGGTGGGAAGTGGCATAAGTTTAATTTTTTAAGTATTAGAAAGGTTTGAATCAGTTTGAATCAGTTCAAATTAGTTTGAAAAATTAAATGATAAATCATCACTGAGTGACTTTAAAATGTGAAAAATCTAAATGTATATAAATCCTAAATACACCCCATAATGTCCTCAATGAGCTTAAATTTTAAAGCCCTGAATGGTTTCTGTAGGTCAAAGGTCATGTGAGGAGATAGGGGCTTAGGTTTTTTCAAGCGCTCTAGGAAAGGGTTTTAAGTGTCATCCCCAGTGCTATGTGTACTGAGCCTGGCTTCATGTGTCTCATATGGCCATTAGAAGCAGCTTTCCAGTCAGCTGTGTGTCTCCAGGTGCACAAATTGGTTGCCATGGGGACCTTGGATGAATAACTTTAGCAGGAGAAAGAAGGCTTGAAGCTAAGGAAACAGGACTCCAAGTAGGCCCTGACGCTCATCCTCTGTATCTATTCCTGATAAGGAGCTTGTGAGAACACAAGATTTTGCTGAACACATTAATACAATTTATTATCACAATCCTCAAAACACCCCATAATATCTTCAATGAGCTGAATTTTTGAAGCCCAGAATGGTTTCTGTAGCTCAAAGTTTGTGGGTGGAGATAGGTGGTGAAGCAGACACATATTACCTGTGTGTACAAGCAGGTGAACTGCAAGGTAGACCTGACAATGCAACAAGTACAAGAATGTGTGTGTGTGTGTGTGTGTGTGTGTGTGTGTCTCGTTAATGATTGCATCCTAAGCAGCTGTGAGATCAAAGGCAAATCACTGACCTACTGTTTGAATGGAGAAGCTGCTGAACTGCAGTGAATTTACGGTTCTGAACTTCTTCACATAGCACGATTTCCTTAAGTCCCAGAATGAAAATAAGAACATCGTACGAATCCTCCGCCTTTCATGAACACAATGATGTCTTTTTCATGTCTGTACTCCGAAAAATGTGGCCACAACAGCGAGTTAAAAAAGTCTGAGTCTGAGTGGGGATAAGGATTTTCTTGGAGAAGAAATACATTAGGTCTAATGGGGAGAGATTTCCGCCTATTTGGACAGTTGGTCACCTGCTGGCCAAGGGGTAAGATTTAATGATTTGAAACCTCTTTTGTGAGAAGCAGGACACATATACCTCCATTTTGATGTATTTTTTATGGGTGTGGATTGAGATTTGTGAGCGTGGGAGCGATATATTCGAGCGAGGTTCTGTTGATCAGAGACGAGGTCTGCACTCTAGCTTTTCAAATCCTCACTCTAGCCTCTCCAATACACCCCTATTATAAAGCCTGAAATTTGCTGAAAACCACAAGTTGCATTAAGCTAAATTGTGGAAAAACTGTAAAAGATATTACAAAAAGACTAATACAGTATCAATAGTCGACAAGACAATGAACATTTTAAAGCAAAAATGAGGTCTCTAGGTGAAAGTATGCTGAAGTTATAAGGCTTAGAAGGTGGACAAATAACAGGAAGAATTGAAAGATTTCCCCATTCATTTGTATGGGAAAAAAAGTTTGGCACAAAAAGTGAAAAATAATAAAAAGTATAAAGGGTAGAAAAAAGAAAAGTAATAGCCATCATGTCCTGAAGGAGTGGAATAGTTTAAAGTTTGAACGGTTGAAATCGGACAAAGTTTGAAGGAGGAGAAGCGGTCCAAAGAAACGTAAGGGGAGAGTGTTAAGTATAATACTAGAAAAATTGCATTTCCTTGCAGAAAATGCGTGGAAATGCTGAGTGCTGAAAGCTGAAAAAGCAATGCTAAACTGCTAATAAAACATGGAGAAAGGTATAAATGTTAAAGCTGTTGAAGGGGTGAAAAAGAAATATAAGTTGGATAATTGATTAATTGGTTGAAGGACAAATAGTATGAATATGCTCTATAAAAGGAAATTTTATTCATGCTGAAAGAGGCTAGAAAAATGTCTAAAATTGCACAAAGTTTGAATGAAGAAGGAAATTGCCTTAAAAGGCAGGAAGGTGAGAAGTGGCATAAGTTTAAATTGTAGTACTAGAAGTAGTATGATAAGAAGTCAAGTCGTGATACTAGTAGTCATGTCAGCAGTAGAAGTAGATTGAGAATAAAAGAAGTATAAGTCAAAGTAGTAAAGAAAGTAGAAATAGTAGCAATAGCAGCAGTAGAGAAAGTAGAAATAGGAGCAATAGCAGTTGAAGTAGAGGGGAAAGTACTAGTTTAATTGACATAAGTAGTTGTAGTACTAGAGGTAGGATTTTGTTTGAAGGACGGATTAATGCATAAATATTAAAACTAATATAAAACAGGGAACATTTTATTAATTAAAAATCCTCAAGTATCAGACAGTTTTTAAGTATTAGAAAGGTTTGAATCATTTTGAATGAGTTTAAATTAGTTTGAAAAATTAAATGATGAATCATCACTGAGTGACTTATAAAAGTGAAAAATTTAAATGAATATAAATCCTGAATACACCCCATAATGTCCTCAATGAGCTTAAATTTTAAAGCCCTGAATGGTTTCTGTAGGTCAAAGGTCATGTGAGGAGATAGGGGCTGAAGGTTTTTCAAGCGCTCTATATATGTATAAGGAGCTTGTGAGAACACAAGACTCTGCTAAACACATTAATACAATTTATTATCACAATCCTCAAGACACCCCATAATATCTTCAATGAGCTGAATTTTTGAAGCCCAGAATGGTTTCTGTAGCTCAAAGTTTGTGGGTGGAGATAGGTGGTGAAGCAGACACAAATTAACTGTGTGTACAAGCAGCTGAACTGCAAGGTAGACCTGACAAAGCAACAAGTACAAGAATGTGTGTGTGTGTGTGCGTCTCGTTAATGATTGCATCCTAAACAGCTGTGAGATCAAAGCCATGACCTATTGACCTATTGTTTGAATGGAGAAGCTGCTGAACTGCATTGAATTTAGGGTTCTGAACTTCTTCACATAGCGTGATTTCCTTAAGGCCCAGAATGAAAATAAGAACATCGTACGAATCCTCCGTCCTTCATGAACACAATGATGTGTTTTTCATGTCTGTACTTCGAAAAATGAGGCCACAACAGCGAGTTAAAAATGTCTGAGCCTGAGCGATGATCCGGATTTTCTTGGAGAAAAATAACATTATGGTCAATGGGAGAGATATCCGCCTTCCTTGGACAGTTGGTCACCTGCTGGCCAAGGGGTACGATTTAATGATTTGAAACCCCTTTTGTGAGAAGCAGGACACATATACCTGCATTTTGATGTATTTTTTATGGCTGTGGAGTGAGATTTGTGGGCGTGGGAGCGATATATTCGAGCGAGGTTCTGTCGATCAGAGACGAGGTCTGCACTCTAGCTTTTCAAATCCTCACTCTAAACTCTCCAATACACACCCATTATAAAGCCTGAAAATTTGCTGAAAACCACAAGTTGCTTAAAGCTAAATTGTGGAAAAACTGTAAAAGATAGCACAAAAAGGTTATACAATATCAATAGTCGACAAGACAATGAACATTTTAAAGCAAAAATGAGGTCTCTAGGTGAAAGTATGCTGAAGTTATAAGGCTTAGAAGGTGGACGAATAACAGGAAGAATTGGAAGATTTCCCCATTCATTTCTATGGGAAAAAAAGTTTGGCACAAAAAGTGAAAAATAATAAAAAGTATAAAGGGTAGAAAAAAGAAAAGTAATAGCCATCATGTCCTGAAGGAGTGGAATCGTTTAAAGTTTGAACGGTTGAAATCGGACAAAGTTTGAAGGAGGAGAAGCGGTCCAAAGAAACGTATGGGGAGAGTGTTAAGTACAATACTAGAAAAATTGCATTTCCTTGCAGAAAATGCGTGGAAATGCTGAGTGCTGAAAGCTGAAAAAACAATGCTAAACTGCTAATAAAACATCGAGAAAGGTATAAATGTTAAAGCTGTTGAAGGGGTGAGAAAGACATGTAAGTTGGATAATTGATTAATTGGTTGAAGGACAAATAGTATGAATATGCCCTATAAAAGGAAATTCTATTCATGCTGAAAGAGGCTAGAAAAATGTCTGAAATTGCACAAAGTTTGAATGAAGAAGGAAATTGCCTTAAAAGGCAGGAAGATGGGAAGTGGCATAAGTTTAATTTTTTAAGTATTAGAAAGGTTTGAATCAGTTTCAATCAGTTCAAATTAGTTTGAAAAATTAAATGATAAATCATCACTGAGTGAGTTTAAAATGTGAAAAATCTAAATGTATATAAATCCTAAATACACACCATAATGTCCTCAATGAGCTCAAATTTTAAAGCCCTGAATGGTTTCTGTAGGTCAAAGGTCATGTGAGGAGATAGGGGCTGAAGTTTTTTCAAGCGCTCTAGTAAAGGGTTTTAAGTGTCATCCCCAGTGCTATGTGTGCTGAGCCTGGCTTCATGTGTCTCATATGGCCATTAGAAGCAGCTTTCCAGTCAGCTGTGTGTCTCCAGGTGCACTAATTGGTTGCCATGGGGACCTTGGATGCATAACTATAGCAGGAGAAAGAAGGCTTGAAGCTAAGGAAACAGGACTCCAAGTAGGCCCTGACGCTCATCCTCTGTATCTATTCCTGATAAGGAGCTTGTGAGAACACAAGACTCTGCTAAACACATTAATACAATTTATTATCACAATCCTCAAAACACCCCATAATATCTTCAATGAGCTGAATTTTAGAAGCCCAGAATGGTTTCTGTAGCTCAAAGTTTGTGGGTGGAGATAGGTGGCGAAGCAGACACATATTAACTGTGTGTACAAGCAGCTGAACTGCAAGGTAGACCTCATAAAGCAACAAGTACAAGAATGTGTGTGTGTGTGTGTGTGTGTGTCTCTCGTTAATGACTGCATCCTAAACAGCTGTGAGATCAAAGGCAAATCACTGACCTACTGTTTGAATGAGAAGCAGCTGAACTGCAGAGGATTTAGAGGCTCTAAACTTCTTCACATAGCGTGATTTCCTTAAGTCACAGAATGAAAATAAGAACATCGTACGAATCCTCCGTCCTTCATGAACACAATGATGTGTTTTTCATTTCTGTACTTCGAAAAATGAGGCCACAACAGCGAGTTAAAAAAGTCTGAGCCTGAGCGATGATCCGGATTTTCTTGGAGAAAAATAACATTATGGTCAATGGGAGAGATTTCCGCCTTTTTTGGACAGTTGGTCACCTGCTGGCCAAGGGGTACGATTTAATGATTTGAAACCTCTTTTGTGAGAAGGAGGACACATATACCTCCATTTTGATGTATTATTTGTGTCAGTGGAATGAGATTTGTGGGCGTGGGAGCGATATATACGAGCGAGGTTCTGTCGATCAGAGACGAGGTCTGCACTCTAGCTGATGACATCATCACTCTAAACTCTCCAATACACACCCATTATAAAGCTTGAAATTTGCTGAAAACCACAAGTTGCTTAAAGCTAAATTGTGGAAAAACTGTAAGAGATATCAAAAAACTGATTACAACTATAATAGTCGACAAGTGAATGAACATTTTAAAGCAAAAATGAGGTCTCTAGGTGAAAGTACGCTGAAGTTATAAGGTCTAGAAGGTGGAAGAATAAAAGGAAGAATTGGAAGATTTCCCCATTGACTTCAATGTTAAAATTTTTGCACAAAAAGTTAAAAAAAACAAAAAGTATAAATGTTAGAAAAGTGAAAAGTAATAGCAAACGTGTCCTGAAGGAGTGGAATAGTTTAAAGTTTGAACGGTTGAAATCGGACAAACTGGGAAGGAGTTGAAAGCGGACGAAAAACGGCGGAAGAATAATAATAATAAAGAAACGGGAGAATAACAATAAGTGGAAATGCTTAATCAGCATTTCCACTTAACTAGAAAAATTGCATTTCCTTGCAGAAAATGCGTGGAAATGCTGAGTGCTGAAAGCTGAAAAAGCAATGCTAAACTGCTAATAAAACATGGAGAAAGGTATAAATGTTAAAGCTGTTGAAGGGGTGAAAAAGAAATATAAGTTGGATAATAGTTTAATTGGTTGAAGGACAAATAGTATGAATATGCTCTATAAAAGGAAATTTTATTCATGCTGAAAGAGGCTAGAGAAATGTCTAAAATTGCACAAAGTTTGAATGAAGAAGGAAACTGCCCTTAAAGGCAGGAAGGTGAGAAGTGGCATAAGTTTAAGTTGTAGTACTAGAAGAAGTATGATAAGAAGTCAAGTCGTGATACTAGTAGTCATGTCAGCAGTAGAAGTAGATTGAGAATAAAAGAAGTATAAGTCAAAGTAGTAAAGAAAGTAGAAATAGTAGCAATAGCAGTTGAAGTAGAGGGGAAAGTACTAGTTTAATTGACATAAGTAGTTGTAGTACTAGAGGTAGGATTTTGTTTGAAGGACGGATTAATGCATAAATATTAAAACTAATATAAAACAGGGAACATTTTATTAATTAAAGATCCACAAGTATCAGACAGTTTTTAAGTATTAGAAAGGTTTGAATCATTTTGAATGAGTTTAAATTAGTTTGAAAAATTAAATGATGAATCATCACTGAGTGACTTATAAAAGTGAAAAATTTAAATGAATATAAATCCTGAATACACCCCATAATGTCCTCAATGAGCTTAAATTTTAAAGCCCTGAATGGTTTCTGTAGGTCAAAGGTCATGTGAGGAGATAGGGGCTGAAGGTTTTTCAAGCGCTCTATATATGTATAAGGAGCTTGTGAGAACACAAGACTCTGCTGAACACATTAATACAATTTATTATCACAATCCTCAAAACACCCCATAATATCTTCAATGAGCTGAATTTTTGAAGCCCAGAATGGTTTCTGTAGCTCAAAGTTTGTGGGTGGAGATAGGTGGTGAAGCAGACACATATTAACTGTGTGTACAAGCAGCTGAACTGCAAGGTGGACCTCAAAAAGCAACAAGTACAAGAATGTGTGTGCGTGTGTGTGTGTGTGTCTCGTTAATGACTGCATCCTAAACAGCTGTGAGATCAAAGGCAAATCACTAACCTACTGTTTGAATGAGAAGCAGCTGAACTGCAGTGAATTTCAGCCTGTGAACTTCTTCACATAGCGTGATTTCCTTAAGTCCCAGAATGAAAATAAGAACATCGTACGAATCCTCCGTCCTTCATGAACACAATGATGTGTTTTTCATGTCTGTACTTCGAAAAATGAGGCCACAACAGCGAGTTAAAAAAGTCTGAGCCTGAGCGATGATCCGGATTTTCTTGGAGAAAAATAACATTATGGTCAATGGGAGAGATTTCCGCCTTCCTTGGACAGTTGGTCATCTGCTGGCCAAGGGGTACGATTTAATGATTTGAAACCTCTTTTGTGAGAAGCAGGACACATATACCTCCATTTTGATGTATTATTTATCGCTGTGGAGTGAGATTTGTGGGCGTGGGAGCGATATATTCGAGCGAGCTTCTGTCGATCAGAGACGAGGTCTGCACTCTAGCTGATGACATCATCACTCTAAACTCTCCAATACACACCCATTATAAAGCTTGAAATTTGCTGAAAACCACAAGTTGCTTAAAGCTAAATTGTGGAAAAACTGTACAAGATATCAAAAAACTGAGTACAACTTTAATAGTCGACAAGTGAATGAACATTTTAAAGCAAAAATGAGGTCTCTAGGTGAAAGTATGCTGAAGTTATAAGGTCTAGAAGGTGGAAGAATAAAAGGAAGAAGTGGAAGATTTCCCCATTGACTTCAATGTTAAAATTTTTGCACAAAAAGTTAAAAAAAACAAAAAGTATAAAAGGTAGAAAGGTAAAAAGTACAAGCAAACATGTCCTGAAGGAGTGGAATAGTTTAAAGTTTGAACGGTTGAAATCGCACAAAGTTTGAAGGAGTTGAAAGCGGACGAAAAACGGCGGAAGAATAATAATAAGTTTAATAATAAAGAAACAGGAGAATAACAATAAGTGGAAATGCTTAATCAGCATTTCCACTTAACTAGAAAAATTGCATTTCCTTGCAGAAAATGCGTGGAAATGCTGAGTGCTGAAAGCTGAAAAAGCAATGCTAAACTGCTAATAAAACATGGAGAAAGGTATAAATGTTAAAGCTGTTGAAGTAATGAAAAAGAAATATAAGTTGGATAATGGTTTCATTGGTTGAAGGACAAATAGTATGAATATGCTCTATAAAAGGAAATTTTATTCATGCTGAAAGAGGCTAGAAAAATGTCTAAAATTGCACAAAGTTTGAATAAAGAAGGAAACTGCCTTTAAAGGCAGGAAGGTGAGAAGTGGCATAAGTTTAAGTTGTAGTACTAGAAGAAGTATGATAAGAAGTCAAGTCGTGATACTAGTAGTCATGTCAGCAGTAGAAGTAGATTGAGAATAAAAGAAGTATAAGTCAAAGTAGTAAAGAAAGTAGAAATAGTAGCAATAGCAGTTGATGTAGAGGGGAAAGTTCTAGTTTAATTGACATTAGCAGTAGTTGTCGTACTTGAGGTAGGATTTTGTTTGAATGATGGAGTAATGCATAAATATTAAAACTAATTTAAAACAGGGAAATTTTAAATTATCAAAAGTCCTCAAGTATCAGAAAGTTTTGAAGTATTAGAAAGGTTTGAATCAGTTTGAATGAGTTTAAATTAGTTTGAAAAATTAAATGATAAATCATCACTGAGTGACTTTTAAAATGTGAAAAATTTAAATGAATAACAATCCTAAATACACCCAATAATGTCCTCAATGAGCTTAAATTTCAAAGCCCTGAATGGTTTCTGTAGGTCAAAGGTCATGTGAGGAGATAGGGGCTGAAGTTTTTTCCAACGCTCTAGAAAAAGGTTTTAAGTGTCATCCCAATTGCTATGTGTACTGAGCCTGGCTTCATGTGTCTCATATGGCCACTAGAAGCAGCTTTCCAGTCAGCTGTGTGTCTCCAGGTGCACAAATTAGTTGCCATGGGGACCTTGGATGCATAACTATAGCAGGAGAAAGAAGGCTTGAAGCTAAGGAAACAGGGCTCCAAGTAGGCCCTGGCACTCATCGTCTGTATCTATTCCTGATAAGGAGCTTGTGAGAACACAAGACTCTGCTGAACACATTAATACAATTTATTATCACAATCCTCAAAACACCCCATAATATCTTCAATGAGCTGAATTTTTGAAGCCCAGAATGGTTTCTGTAGCTCAAAGTTTGTGGGTGGAGATAGGCGCTGAAGCAGACACATATTAACTGTGTGTACAAGCAGCTGAACTGCAAGGTAGACCTCATAAAGCAACAAGTACAAGTATGTGTGTGTGTGTGTGTGTGTGTCTCGTTAATGACTGCATCCTAAACAGCTGTGAGATCAAAGGCAAATCACTGACCTACTGTTTGAATGAGAAGCAGCTGAACTGCAGAGGATTTAGAGGCTCTAAACTTCTTCACATAGCGTGATTTCCTTAAGTCACAGAATGAAAATAAGAACATCGTACGAATCCTCCGCCCTTCATGAACACAATGATGTGTTTTTCATGTCTGTACTTCGAAAAATGAGGCCACAACAGCGAGTTAAAAAAGTCTGAGCCTGAGCGATGATCCGGATTTTCTTGGAGAAAAATAACATTATGGTCAATGGGAGAGATTTCCGCCTTTTTTGGACAGTTGGTCACCTGCTGGCCAAGGGGTACGATTTAATGATTTGAAACCTCTTTTGTGAGAAGCAGGACACATATACCTCCATTTTGATGTATTATTTGTGTCAGTGGAGTGAGATTTGTGGGCGTGGGAGCGATATATTCGAGCGAGGTTCTGTCGATCAGAGACGAGGTCTGCACTCTAGCTGATGACATCATCACTCTAAACTCTCCAATACACACCCATTATAAAGCTTGAAATTTGCTGAAAACCACAAGTTGCTTAAAGCTAAATTGTGGAAAAACTGTAAAAGATATCAAAAAACTGAGTACAACTGTAATAGTCGACAAGTGAATGAACATTTTAAAGCAAAAATGAGGTCTCTAGGTGAAAGTATGCTGAAGTTATAAGGTCTAGAAGGTGGAAGAATGAAAGGAAGAAGTTGAAGATTTCCCCATTGACTTCAATGTTAAAATTTTTGCACAAAAAGTTAAAAAAATCAAAAAGTATAAAAGGTAGAAGAGTGAAAAGTAATAGCCATCATGTCCTGAAGGAGTGGAATAGTTTAAAGTTTGAACGGTTGAAATCGGACAAAGTTTGAAGGAGCAGAAGCGTTGCAAAAAAGGGACGGAAGAATAATAATAATAATAATAATAATAAGTTTAATAAAGAAACGGGAGAATAACAATAAGTGGAAATGCCTATCAGCATTTCCACTTAATAATAATAAGTTTAATAAAGAAACAGGAGAATAACAATAAGTGGAAATGCCTATCAGCATTTCCACTTAACTAGAAAAATTGCATTTCCTTGCAGAAAATGCGTGGAAATGCTGAGTGCTGAAAGCTGAAAAAGCAATGCTAAACTGCTAATAAAACATGGAGAAATTTATAAATGTTAAAGCTGTTGAAGGGGTGTGAAAGAAATGTAAGTTGGATAATTGATTAATTGGTTGAAGGACAAATAGTATGAATATGCTCTATAAAAAGAAATTTTATTCATGCTGAAAGAGGCTAGAAAAATGTCTAAAATTGCACAAAGTTTGAATGAAGAAGGAAATTGCCTTAAAAGGCAGGAAGGTGGGAAGTGGCATAAGTTTAATTTTTTAAGTATTAGAAAGGTTTGAATCAGTTTGAATCAGTTCAAATTAGTTTGAAAAATTAAATGATAAATCATCACTGAGTGACTTTAAAATGTGAAAAATCTAAATGTATATAAATCCTAAATACACCCCATAATGTCCTCAATGAGCTCAAATTTTAAAGCCCTGAATGGTTTCTGTAGGTCAAAGGTCATGTGAGGAGATAGGGGCTGAAGTTTTTTCAAGCGCTCTAGTAAAGGGTTTTAAGTGTCATCCCCAGTGCTATGTGTGCTGAGCCTGGCTTCATGTGTCTCATATGGCCATTAGAAGCAGCTTTCCAGTCAGCTGTGTGTCTCCAGGTGCACTAATTGGTTGCCATGGGGACCTTGGATGCATAACTATAGCAGGAGAAAGAAGGCTTGAAGCTAAGGAAACAGGACTCCAAGTAGGCCCTGATGCTCATCCTCTGTATAAATTCATGATAAGGAGCTTGTGAGAACACAAGACTCTGCTAAACACATTAATACAATTTATTATCACAATCCTCAAAACACCCCATAATATCTTCAATGAGCTGAATTTTAGAAGCCCAGAATGGTTTCTGTAGCTCAAAGTTTGTGGGTGGAGATAGGTGGCGAAGCAGACACATATTAACTGTGTGTACAAGCAGCTGAACTGCAAGGTAGACCTCATAAAGCAACAAGTACAAGAATGCGTGTGTGTGTGTGTCTCATTAATGACTGCATCCTAAACAGCTGTGAGATCAAAGGCAAATCACTGACCTACTGTTTGAATGAGAAGCAGCTGAACTGCAGAGGATTTAGAGGCTCTAAACTTCTTCACATAGCGTGATTTCCTTAAGTCCCAGAATGAAAATAAGAACATCGTACGAATCCTCCGCTCTTCATGAACACAATGATGTCTTTTTCATGTCTGTACTCCGAAAAATGTGGCCACAACAGCGAGTTAAAAAAGTCTGAGCCTGAGTGGGGATAAGGATTTTCTTGGAGAAGAAATACATTAGGTCTAATGGGGAGAGATTTCCGCCTATTTGGACAGTTGGTCACCTGCTGGCCAAGGGGTACGATTTAATGATTTGAAACCTCTTTTGTGAGAAGCAGGACACATATACCTCCATTTTGATGTATTTTTTATGGGTGTGGATTGAGATTTGTGAGCGTGGGAGCGATATATTCGAGCGAGGTTCTGTCGATCAGAGATGAGCTCTGCACTCTAGCTGATGACATCATCACTCTAAACTCTCCAATACACACCCATTATAAAGCCTGAAAATTAGCTGAAAACCACAAGTTGCTTAAAGCTAAATTGTGGAAGAACTGTAGAAGATATCAAAAATTTGTATACAAGTTTAATAGTCGACAAGTGAATGAACATTTTAAAGCAAAAATGAGGTCTCTAGGTGAAAGTATGCTGAAGTTTTAAGGTTTAGAAGGTGGAAGAAGAAAAGGAAGAATTGGAAGATTTCCCCATTGACTTCAATGTTAAAATTTTTGCACAAAAAGTAAAAAAAAACAAAAAGTATAAAGGGTAGAAAGGTAAAAAGTACGAGCCCTCATGTCCTGAAGGAGTGGAATAGTTTAAAGTTTGAACGGTTTAAATAGCACAAAGCAGGAAGGAGTTAGAAGTGGACGAAAATTGGCGGAAGAATAATAATAATAATAATAATAATAAAGAAAAATGGCCGACAGGAATAACAATAAGTGGAAATGCTTAATCAGCATTTCCACTTAATAAGTGGAAATGCTTAATCAGCATTTCCACTTAATAATAATAATAATAAAGAACAGAATAACAATAAGTGGAAATGCTTAATCAGCATTTCCACTTAATAAAGAAACAGGAGAATAACAATAAGTGGAAATGCCTATCAGCATTTCCACTTAATTAAAAAACAAAGTATGACTGTCCTGTGTAGGTGACAGTGATATCCAATAGGCTAGGCACTCACGAGGCTGGCTGTGGCAAGTGTAAGTGAAAGCAACACGCACTGGCAGGAAGAACAGCAAACGCCGATGAAGGAAAAGGGTCTTTGCAGTGATGGGCGTTACCAGAGAGGGCGATGGCCAGAGGAAACGAATGGGACGGGGAGGCAGCGCGTTGGGGGGGGGGGGGGGTGCGACACGGCTCGGGCCCGCCAGTGCCCCAACGGGGCCCTAGTTATTATTTTTCCTCCGCTTTAAACTGGCAAATGGCCCACTTCCCACTGGCGAAAACTCAGGAAATTTGGCAGGACGACCCGGCCTGGTGAAAAATTCGATATTCTGAAGTCGCCCAAACAATAAAATACAAAATGGCTCCATAGCGCCCCCTAAGGTGAAAATTCACACTATTGACTGTCACGCCTGTACGCTTTGTCATATTGACACAAAAATTGACACACACATGTATCTCAATAAGATCTACAAAAAAGTCAGTGCGGGCGTATCTGTCAAATGTACGGTTAAAGGGTTATTTCGCATTTTTTGCAGATCCGCACACATTGGAATTTCACTAACTCCTCCGAAGGCTTTCGGTCCACCGGCACCACATTTGCTCAGGCCAATCTACACTCCATGGCCATTCAAAGTTGTACAAATCATGATGCTGCACCCCATGGCTTAGGTTCTAGGGGGCGCCAAAAATAACCCTAAAATCCACATTCTTAAAAGTTTTATAACTTTTTATTTTTGCCCTCACTGGCCTCCAAGTTTTCTAGGATGATGCAATGTCCAGCCATCAACACATTTGTGAAGGAATTTTTACTCCCCAAAAGAGCGCCCCCCCATGGCAGGACAAAAAAGTCAATTTTTTCTTGTCCCCTAAGGTGAAAATAAACATTGTTGAATGTCACGCCTGTACGCTTTGTCATATTGACACAAAATTTGACACACACGTGTATCTCAATAAGATCTACGAAAAAGTCAATGCGCGTGTATCTGTAAAATGTACGGCTAAACGGCTATTTTGCATTTTTTGCCGATTCGCACACATTGGAATGTGGCTAACTCCTCCTAAGGCTTTCGTCCCACTGACACCAAATTTGCTCAGGCCAATCTACACCCCATGGCCATTCAAAGTTGTAAAAATCATGCCGCTGCACCCCATGGTTTACGTTCTAGGGGGCGCCAAAGATGACCCAAATATCCACATTCTTAAAAGTCGTTTTGGCCACTGCAGGAGTACAGAGTACTGCAGGATACACACACACAGACACACACACACACAGACACACACACACACACGCACACACACACACACACACACACACACACACACACACACACACACACACACACTCAGAGTCTGTTTTTCAGCACCTGCAAAAACATGCTATTTACATATTTGACAACAATGCAGAGACTTCCTTTTGCCCCTGAAAAAAATGAAATTTCAAACACAACTTGACTGCTCATTTCTCCAAAAGACAACCATGAAGCTCCATCCAAACCTGAAGCAGGCAGTTGGTGCATGTGTACAGTAACCTGAGTGGAGTAAGATGACTGCTTCTGAGGAGAACATGAGCAGTCAAGATTCACCTTGGAGCTAGAACAGGGACGTGCACATGATTATACAGGGGCAGGGGCTCAAGTTTTTTCCAGTCGTTTAGACAATATGGAAATTAATGTGAAATTAAAAAACAAAGTATTAATAGAAAGGTAATGACTGTCCTGTGTAGGTGACAGTGATATCCAATAGGCTAGGCACTCACGAGGCTGGCTGTGGCAAGTGCAAGTGAAAGCCACACGCACTGGCAGGAAGAACAGCAAACGCCGATGAAGGAAAAGGGTCTTTGCAGTGATGGGCGTTACCAGAGAGGACGATGGCCAGAGGACGCGAATGGGACGGGGAGGCAGCGCGTTGGGGGGGGGGGGCGCGCGACACAGCTCGGGCCCGCCAGTGCCCCACCGGGGCCCTAGTTTCTTTCTTTAGGGCCCGAGCGTAGCTGCTAAGCAGCTGCGAGAGCCCTCTTGTTCCTGCATGTTTCCTTCTTTCGTTATTATTTTTCCTCCGCTTTAAACTGGAAAATGGCCCACTTCCCACTGGCGAAAACTCAGGAAATTTGGCAGGACGACCGGGCCTGGTGAAAAATTCGATGTTCTGAAGTCGCCCAAACAATAAAATGCAAAATGGCTCCATAGCGCCCCCTAAGGTGAAAATTCACATGACGGCTGTACGCTTTGTCATATTGACACAAAAATTGACACACACATGTATCTCAATAAGTTCTACAAAAAAGTCAGTGCGGGCTTATCTGTCAAATGTACGGTTAATGGGTTATTTTGCATTTTTTGCAGATCTGCACACATTGGAATTTCGCTAACTCCTCCGAAGGCTTTCGTTCGACCGGCACCACATTTGCGCAGGCCAATCTACCCCCCATGGCCATTAAAAGTTGTACAAATCATGACGCTGCACCCCACGGTTTACGTTCTAGGGGGCGCCAAAGATAACCCAAAATCCACATTCTTAAAAGTCTTATAACTTTTTATTTTTGTCCTCACTGCCCTCCAAGTTTTCTAGGATG